CCGTCTGTCTTCATGTCTATCCTCATTACTAAATCGATTGAGAATTGTCTCTTCCACGAAAAAAGTTCATTTTTATCTTCTTTTATTTAATTCATATTCATTCTTGTGCTACAATAGACTATAAAAGCTCTAATTCAGAAAACTTTGAGGCGGTCACACACGTGGAAGCTTTTACGATATTTTTGCGTCGTTGTGCATGATGCGAGCATAATATATCATACATCATGTATTTTTAGGAGCAGAAATTGAGTATGCTTGTCTATTTTTAGGAGAGAAAATAAAGCTAGCGTGCGTGCTATTGATAACGCAATTGTGGATTTGGAAACTTCTCAATATGTTGAGGAAATGATGTGAAAAATTGCTGAATTATCGACAGATTGTTGAAAGGAAGTGAGAATTAACTAGATAATTTTAATTTGAGCGGAAATATAGCATATACAAAACAAGAGAACTTCCTAGTCAATTTGATGTTTCTTTAAAGCTGTTTTGACACAAAAGAGCTTCATTTGATAGCGATTATTGTTTCCTTAGTTCCATACTTCTTTAAAAGACTGTAAAACTTTTTTCTATATTGTTGTTTTATACAAACAATTTCACATCATTTAAACATTTATGCTGTTTGTTGTTGCCAGCTCTAGTGAAACTCATGAGAACAAAAAGTTTACATTTTTTTTGACGAGAACGTTAAGAACAAAAGAGAAAAGTTCCTTAAAAAAAGTTTCATTCGTTCAACTCTCGTTTATACTGTAAGTGTTGATGATTATGCATATTATGAATGAGAAGATTAAAAAGAAGCACTCAAGTATCTCTTCAGATATGAGCAGATAAAGTTGACATAAAAATTTTTAAGAGCTTTAAATTAAGTACGGACGTTTGTGTAGGAATGCTGTGATGAAGTGAACTTAGAATTAATAAAGGTGACATAAATGAATCTCTAGTCTACTGAATTTTTAATTACTACAGTCACTCTTCTCATGATGACGGTGAATCATTAGGCTAATTAAATTTTATGAGTGATTAAGTTGTTATCTTGGGCAATTGAATATGAAGAAGTGAAGCTTAAGTTGACAGGTGCAAAAACCCGTAAAAAATGTAATTGGAGACAATTTATTTTGAATAAATCAATTTGATTTGATGGCCACTGAGAATTGTAAGATTTTATTAGATTATTTTGTGCTTTAAAGCATTCCTGAACATAATAAACTTGATTGTTTCTCACAGCAGCAACGGAATTAAGTTGTCGACAATAATTGCTACAATTTTCGACAAATTACTTAATTATTTCAATTCCAACGAGTGTTGTGTCTCATTAAAGTCACTTTTAAACTTAAGTAGCTGATTAAACTTTGTAGAATTAAAAACAAGCCTTTATGAATCACTTACTACACAAAATTAAAAATTAATAAGCTCAAACTAGTTGCAAGTTTTAATGCAACGTGAAATTAAACTATGTAAACTAACTCGTCTGGCAAGTCATCGTTGAATCAACTTTTTCTCATTGTTGTAAGTACGCATCGTTTCTGTTCTCATGTGAGATTTACTCGGCAAGTTACTTTTATTGATTTAAATCTACAAGGTGATGAATCATTGTTCTATTTCATAAAATTGATCACAGCTCATTTAATTATTCTCACGAGCAAAGGGAACTTAGTTTAACTATTGCTGCTAATTTATGAGTGAAAATATTTTGCGGAACCCTTTTATAGCCTTCAAAAAATTCATCATTGTCTATCAAATTACTAGGTGCACAAATTTGATAGTTTTGAATTAAAAAAATATTAAGTCTGGAAAAATCACTGATTACATATCAATAGAAAATATAATTGATTTCTCAAGGATTTCGTAATTATTACCAAAATACATTTTAAAGACATAACCTCATTTAAATCCCACAAATCAGTAAAAAAATAAAATAAAATTAATTAACATTAATGACTTTAAAATTGTCCAAATAAGGAACAAATCAATGAAAATTTTCCATTATTATTTTTTTACGATAATTTAATAAAATTTCTGTCATACAACCAAATAAGTATGTATCCTCGCATCCATTAATTTAATGTGTATATAAATGATATCATTTAGATTTATGATAATTGATTTTGACGAAACTTGTCATCATCATTTTGCAATGAAACGTTAGTGCTGATATGATTTGTTGATGTTTAATGGTTCATCATGTGTCACGCGTAAACATGATAATGGATCTTAAATTTCAGTTATTTTGACAACAATTTATTGAGATTACAAATTTTCGAGGAGATTTTAATGAAATTTGTAAACATTTTGCTTTAAAAATGCTCTACCCGATTACAAGACCACTCCTTTAATCCTCAAAAGCCACAGTCAGTTTTACCAAAAGAAGAAACCGCAATTGTCAGCTTTAGTTGGGGGTCAAGTGCTTCACAATAAAGCCACTCAAAACATTTCCGCTATAAATTTTTAATGAGGGTTTGTATTAAGCTTCTAAATAGGAAAACAAAAACTTTACATTTTCAATTAAAACTTCTTTTTTAAATAATAAAAAAAAATTTGTTTTGTCGTCTCGATTTAATGCTGACTCACTTGATAAATAATTAATCACTTTATGAATAATTAATTAATCTCATAGACAAATTGTTTGTTGTAAAAAAAAAGTATCAAGTCAATGAAAAATAAATAAATCAAAATGAATTAAATTTATACTGTTATTTAATAATAGAGAGGCTAGAATATGATTAGACAACAGAGTTGAAGCTGACAAACATGTTCATAGAAAAAATAAGTCTGATTATACGAGAATAAATGTTGATGATTTTTAAAATATTTTGCAAATCCATCTTCATTGGAAACGAACTCAATTTGAGTGGTGCTTTAGTATCCATCGATAATAGCAGCCTCAAGATGTTTGTTGATACTCTTATATTTAAATTGAAGGAATTTCGAAGAATAAATTAAAATCTACTCTATTATGAATAATTAATTTAAATTAAAGATAAGGGGCCATTCACTTATTACGTAACGCTTTTAGGGGGAGGGGGGGGGGTCTAAGATTTTGTTACAATTCAAACAAGGAAATTTTTTTTTCATACAAATTTTGTTACGAGGGGGGGGGGGGGGGGTCTAAGAAGTCATTTTTTCGCGTTACGTAATAAGTGAACAGCCCCTAAGATAGATTGAAATTATGGATACTTTAATTTGTATGGATATCAGAAGATTCTTGAGAATCTCATTCCGATACTAATCAAGAAAATGTTTTCAAGTTTGATACCTTTGGAATATTGTATTGTCTTGAATATGGCTCGAATCCTAGCCATATCGAAAACACTAATAGATTGAGAGATCGGACTTTGTTGAGAATCGAACTTACGTCCTCACAAAAGAGGGTTAACATATCTAGACTGTTGCTTAACAACGCAGGACTTACTCTTGCACTGGCAGATTCACCTACATATGACTCGAAACCCCACACTCAACTTCTGCTTCAACAGCAGACCTTGTTTTGTTCTTATGAAGCTTACAACTTTAGCAATTCGCCTTAATTTCAAAAATTAACACCTTAATTAAATCACTTTATATAGAATTGATTATTCTCAAAATAAATTGCCAATCATTCTCCGAAATATAACTTGAAATGGTGACAAAAAGGCCATTAAAGATTATTCGCAACCTTAACTCAAAAATAAATAATGACAAACTTTTTCATGTCCCAAAAATGATATTTTACGTTGCCAATGAGTCCCAAATAATTGACCTTTTTCACATCTCCAGAAGAAAAAAGCTATAAAATTTTATGTAGAGGAAATTTTCCATCAAAGAATTCCATTCAACATTATCAATAATGTTCAGACAAATTTTTTTTATGCAGTTCACAACTACCCACAGCCATAAATGAAAAGATGAATGTTCATTATTAAAAAATTTCCATTCAACGATCTTTTCTCGACCTAAATATCATAAAAAAATGTTTGATGACCTGATAGCATAAAAACTTATTGATATTTGATAGATTTATGATGCTGTTCTATGTTTATTAAGAAGTCTATTTAACTTCCGTTAGACATGATTCAAGATTAGGATAAAAGTTCCCAAACTTTCACCTTGAATTTAAAAAATATTTTAAATCACTTTTACTTTTCGTCCAAGTCTCGTGCTGAGACGCAGCATAAAAATTTCAGTTGCTGCCACTTCTCCATGTGAAATTCACGAGCAAAGAGAATTTTTTTAAAGAATGAAAAAGGAATTCAGAACGTGCAAGAAAAATTTAATATTAAAAACACTTTTAGTATTCGGAATTCCCCTTTCTACAATTTCCCATTTCTCAAACTGCATGAATGTCTTCAGAAAATGAGAATTTAAAATTTTGAAAAAAATGCACAAGAAGAGAAAAAAAAAATTCTCTTGAGAAATTTGATGCTTGATGCTGAGTGAAAAGCACGCGAATAATACAAATAAAAAAGCTAGATTTGACGATAATTCAAACAGAAAAGTAAAGAAAATGTTCTGGTAATTCACACTACGCTACTCTTTCGTATCTTTATGCTGTGTTCTTCTTTTTTTCACATTCTTCATCATACTTATGCACAGACTGTAAAGTTTTTTTTTTTGTAATTTTCATTACTTTTTCTGAGAATGGAAACTTTGAGGAATTTTTTTTTGGGGTCGGTTTCTTATGATTTATTGCTGCACAGGGGGTCTTTGTTCAAAGCTATCATTTTTGATGCATTCAGTAATTTTTCTTACAACTCCTTTAGTCATTTGATTCCAAAATCGCTAGTAAATCTAAAACACCCTCGGAAGTCCACTTATCCCACTGAAAACACATCGCATCAGGCAACAAATATTTAATTCACACTTCAACACCCTTCACAAAAATGCTACCATGATAAAAGTATTCCCAGGATGATTAAAAACAGCATCACGACTTTCTTTAACGGCGTAAAAAACAAAAGAAAGAAAGTAGCTCGCTTAAAATCACGCGCGTGGGAAACTCACAGATCTTTTTTCAACTTCTCACTTACAAGCTCTCAACAAAATATTATTTTCATCCAAAAATATGGAAACAATGAGGAAGAAAACTTCTCACAATCTTACGCGTATGATGAATAAAATAAAACTAAAGTTCTCAAACTCATCGACTTGATAATTTAAATTATTTTCGCTGCTGTTGCCTGCTAATGTATATTCTAAAAATATTAAGTTTATGCAAAGAAAAAATATGAGTTGTACTCGACTGAGATTAAAATACTCGCTGAGATTAGTTTCCGTATTACTCAAATGTGTTGCAATGTCTGTGATTGTATTTTAAATATTTCTGTCACACACGAAGGTGAATTGAAAATCGTTATCGCTATAAAACAACCTGATAAAGTCTAATGTGCTTAATTATATTTACTTTGATTTAAAACTAAGTCTTAAGCTGCTTGTTGGGATGCCTAAATGAACTGAATTTAAAATATAAATTCCATACTTGATTACCTCATTATCATCAGCATAGGGGCGTAGCCAGGAATTTGAAGAGGAGGGGGGGGGGGGGTAAAATTTTTTTTTGTATGGATTTTTATGACTTTTGTGGTTTTCATAGCAAAATAAAGAAATTTTTGTTTACGTTGGGGGATTTGTCCCCCAAATCTCCCCCCCCTAGCTACGCGCCTGCATCAGCAGAAACATACCCACTATTGAGAGGATTGATGATATTTTAGGAATTTTTGTGGTAATATAAAGAGGATTTGTACGAACGAATGTTTCTCACATGAACACATTCTGAACATTGTGAATTTTAATTTGAAGATTGGATTTTTTCTCGTTTAATTTTATATGTGAAAAGAGAAAGGTGGATGAGAATTGATAAATCTTATGCTGAGCATGCAGAGATAATTGATGCATGAAAATTAAAAGTTGGAAACTCTTAATTCCATATCCTGAATCCTTTACTGATGTGATTCCTGGTTTTAAATTAAAATTCAACAGCATAAAGCAGGCAGTCTACAAATTGAGTAATTTTTTAAAATTAAACAAAACTTTGTCATGTCTAATAATAAATCTAACGGTACACTGCACATCCTACATCAAGGCAATCACCAGTAAAATAGAAATTAATTCAAATCCCAGACAATAAAATATTTCCGTTGAGTAAATAAATTTAAAAGTTCCTCCTTATTCAAGCTGTGTGTTTCTAAAAATGGAAATTCCCACATCATGTATAAAAAAAAGTTGACCATTTTAAATGATGAACAATAAAAAGCTCTGATTAATGCAATCACTTACTCAACTCTGACTTGGTTCATGCATAATTCATTAAAAGTCGTACTGAATATGAATTGTTGATGACATAGAAGCTGTTAATGTAAGGTTAATTTAATTTTATTACACAAAAGTGGTTTTTGTTGATTTATTTGATATTCGTGGACTTTTTGATGAGGCTTGAGAAATTTTTTTTCCTTGAATTTATTCAAATTATCTTCAATTTCCAACATTTAAAGATCCTAATAAATCAATCATAATTCACAGATACTCTTATTGTTCCTCTAAAAGTGATTGTTCATTTGTAAACAATTTGTTAAATTGATAAATTGAGTTTTAATTAATTGTCTTTCTAAGGAGCCGTTCAATTATGATGTCTACGAGGGGGGGGGGGGAGGCAGAGGGTGAGCAAAAAAAGAACAATAGTCTTTTTTGAAAATTGACCGTTAATTTCGGACATCATAATTGAACGACCCCTAATTAGTCAATAATGTAATATTAAAGCTCTAGTGTAACTGAATTATCTTTATTATTATCTCATTTCGTGAATTAAGGACACAATAAAATTAACTTCGTTGACAAAATTTTCATTTTTGGTGATTGTTAAGTGTCAATTTGTGATTAATTGGAATTAATTGTTCAATTGTATTTGTGTTATTAAGGACGAGAGTCTTTAGGATCAAATCTCATAATTCGTTTTGTTCATCAATTTGCAATCTAGTTTATTATCTGCAAAATCTAATCTAAACTCAACAAATAATGCTTTCGTCATAATACATCAAAAATTCCATTCTAATTTGAGATTCGACAGGTCGTCAGCTGTCAAATTAAATAACGTTTCATTCTAATATTTCATACATACAAAAATAATTGGAAATCTGAAAATAAGTCCATCACAATTCACTCCATTAATTAATAATTCAGCATTAATACACAATGTGAGCAGTAAATTATAATAGCAATAATAAGAAGAACAATTATGAACAACATATTTGCATTTATTGAAACGTAACTAATTTGTTGTGTGAGCTTTTGTTTCAAGCAAGAAATATTCAAAACATATGTGACTAACCTACGTGTGTGCATTCAGACGATTACTCATGTAGTCAGTCGTTTCCGATTGGAAATATTATTAATATTAATAGCCATATTCACATATCGCATGTCGGTGCCTTGCATTTGACAAATGATCATGAACTTGAAATTTGATTTCGTTTACTTGATTCAGAGTTGTTGTACAATCTTCTTGTTCTTTAAACGTTGTAGTAACTTGTATTTAATATTTCGTAACTTATTTTCATTGAGTAGCACTAACAAGGAACACGAGAAAGGAGAATTATTGTTATTAGCTTTCAGCACCATATTGAGCTGTTTTATTGTTCTTCTTATCAATGAATTGCAAATGAATGATTGGATTGGGGTTGTTCATTATATGAATGCACACTTGGATTGGTTAAAGCTTGCTTTAGAAAATTCAGATTGTGGTTTAATTGTGTATCCTCGGTTGAAATTCTGAGTTATGCTGATTATTTCCCACAAAAGCCTCTTAAAATAACAAAACCTGCAAATGCTTTTAAAAACTCATCAAAGCTCTTCCAAAACATTCATTCGTTTACCTTGACCCGGTCCAATCACCTGAAAATATAATTAAATGTAACATAAGCACGTGTGTAATCAACTTTCATTCAAAATCCTATAAACAAAGTAATTTAACTGCAAATACAGCTTTTCCTAAACAAATCCCATCCTAAATCCAATTTTACATGTATGTTAAAATATTCATTGAGCTCTAAAACTGGCTGTTTTTTGGAAATTCAAATGAGAACATATTATCATAGCAAGTTAATTGCTAATTCAATTAACCCAATGAGTTCTATTGTCAATGCTATAACCTCAAATCCTTCTTCGTTGAGTTTATTTTGTGTCTTGACTTGATTTTAGTTTGACGGTTTCTGTTTAAATGTTCAGAGGTGCTTATTGTCTTAATTTGGCTGGGTGTCTGGAGCTTGACTAGAGCTCAATTGAGTTTAATGGATCTTGAACAGAATTGACTTTGTAAATTGCTGTTATATATAAAATATGCGTTCCAGCCATTCTACTCTGATGACTTTTCAACTTTACATCCACATGTCTTATCATACCTAACAAAATTATACCTCATCTTGTCTGAATTGTACTGAAGGTTCAGTTAAAAATTCAAACTTATTCAAAATGTATTCATTTACCCTTTTTCTACTTCCACCACTTAATATTTCCCCATTGCATAATGCAAATTATTATATACCCGAGTAATCAGATCCACACAAAATGTATTACGTGAATCGGTTTTTCCTTTTTGTTTTGCCTTACTTTTTCATCCATTGCATTGCGCTCTTTACTTTTCTATTAAATTTTATTAGCTTGATGTTGTTGTTGTGTTTTTTGCCTTCACTTCAATTGCTTTACTCTTTACTCGTTCTACAGCACACGGAAGACGAAGCATTAAATATTAAAAATTCTAGCTGCATCTATCTCTCAATCTTGAAGCTCTCTATAAAATTACAGTGTTGGAAGTTAATAAAGTGATGTGAATTTTTCTCTCAATATGTGCTGCTTTTTTGCAATTGATATCGTCAGTTTTGGATGCTTGATTTAATTGGGATGAAGAATTTGAATCCACATTGAGGAGCTTGGAGGTCAAATTAGGTGTAATTTATATGTATGAACATATCACGTACCTTATAGACCAGCATGCACTTCAGCAGATGATCTAAAGTAATTTTTCATACTTAACCCTTGCATTGGTGGTAAGGAAAACGGAGTAAGACGAGGAAGTGAGTAAAAGCGATAAAAATTGAAAAGAGTGAGCAATTTTATTTCTTTTTATTATTCCCTTTTGGCTTTAAAGCGACTGTGAATTGTTAATAATATGAGATGGATCTTCTTAATGCTTAAAGGATTCAAGATACATTTGTATATAAATTGGAGATTGAAATGCAAATATAAATCCTTGAACTTTAGTTTTAAATTTCCAATCTCATGATTGATTCCTATATATGGAACCAACTATTCAACATTGTGGCTTAATGTGAGTGCGTTGTGCTACAAAATTTCTCATATTCAGCTTACGAGAACTTTTAATCCGATTAACAACCATGGTTATGATTTATGTTATGCTCAATAAAAATGCGAAATTTTTCATTCTGTTAAACACAAATGCATGCGGAATTGAGTCACATATTGGACAACATCAGACAAAATTGATTACTGTTGATTCACGTGTTTCTTGATGTTTATATTCAATCAGAAATATATTTCAGTGGGACTTAAAACAGCTACTATGGCAACGACTTTTGTGATGGAATTTTCCATTCCTCTCCATACTGCAGATTAGGTATTAAATCATCAACCTTACTCGTCTATCTCATGAAATATTCCTTTAATTATCAAATGAATTTTATACTCTTAATCCTTTCCTTTTCGTCTAGAAGTGAAAGCGTGATTATTAAGGTTCATACTTTCGTGATTCTCGCAATTATAACTGTGTCAATATTTGCACTATTTCTCTCCATCTTTTCCACATTTTACTTGCAAAAAAAAATTTAATTGGAAATCCACCTTTTTTGAAACTTTACTTGTGCTAGTGTTTGTGCAAATTAAGAGATAAAAAGATATTCATAGACAGATTGAAAAGTTTTCTTGTGTTTGGAATTTTCTTGAACTTTTCTTCGAGTTGCTGCAAATAAATTTAGAAAAAGATTTTAAGTAAATAACTTTTGAGAGCAAATATTTTGTTTCCTTTGTGCTGACTGACAATCTTTATCAGATGTAATTTTATGTGATCGTAAATATTTATTTATTTGCAATTCTTTGTGCAGTATTCACATCGTATTCTTAG